TCCTATCTTACACATCAGCCAGATTGTTATGGGTCATCCTGAGCTGTAGATGGGATCCAAACATTTTAACCTGCCATGAAGACATGGATCTGTTGAATGATACCAGAGGAGGGCCACAAAGATGATCAGAGGGCTGGAGCATCTCTCTGAGGACAGGATGAGAGGGTGGGGTTGTTCAGCCTGGAGGAGGCTTCAGGAAGAACTTAAAAAGGCCTGATGTATCTGTATCCATATTCATGTATCTGAAGGAAGCCTACATGAAAGCTGAAGAGGGACTTCTTACAAGGGCATGGAGGTGATAGGACAAGATGGAATGACTTTAAGTGGAAGGAGCATAGGTTTTTATTATATATAAGGAAGAAATTCTCCCCTGTGAGGATGGTGAGGCCCTGGCACAGTATGCCCAGAGAAGATGTGTCTGTCCCATCCCTGGAAGCGTTCAACACCAGGGTGGACGGAGCTTGGAGTAATCTGGGAAAGTGGAAGATGTTCCTGTCAATGGCAGGGGTGGAATGAGATAAGCTTCAAGGTCCCTTCCAACCCAAACCATTCCATGATTCTTCGAGTTGCTCCCACCAGAGAGCACTGGCTGTGGGCTGTGTGCCACTGACAGGATGCATTTGTTTGCCACGGCATTTGGTGGCATCTCTCTCGAGCAGGGATGTGTTTGTTTGGTGTGACTTTTGGTGGCACCTCTGGAGCAGGGATGTTCAGAAGCCCTCCAGATGCCTCACACTGTCAAACGCAACAGGAACCCCACCATACAGGAGACAGGGACAGGGGGACCAGTCTGCTCTCCCCTCACCTCCTGGTTAGGGATGACACTTGAAATAAAGTCCTGCTATGCTGGAAGAGAGGGGCTAGGTTTCTAGACTGGTTTCCAAACATGAATATTCTTCAAAACCTCTTGCTCTCTCAGTCTTTGATCTAGCCTGTTTAGCAGGCTAAAAAAGATGCATCAGTCAGATGCATCACAGCAACTCATTTTCAGTTTTTCTTTGTTCTTCTATGTCCATTCCAAGAGAAGGAAGGAGAACCAGGTACACGCATCCAGTCATTAGAGGAGTACCTGGCTCATCTCTCAGGACAGACAGCAAAGCAAATATTTCAAGGGGCGGCCTTAACTTTCCCGAACAACACTTCCCAGGGAAGATCAAGGCACTGCTCATACATGTTCGGGCAGGGGGAGCCTGCAGGTTTCATTTCCTGACTGAAAACAGCTGCTATGTGCTATACTCTTAAGTATCATGGCTCTTAAAAAGAAATGACCTTGTAGCAATGATTGCACCAACAAATTTGGCATTCCTGCTTTTATATTAAATTTTTTTATTGAGATGATGTAATTACAGGCATTTTAAAAATTATTTGCAACTCACTGGCCCTGAGAATAGGCTTGTTTGTTTTTGTTTTGTTACATTCATTTGATTCAGTCCCTTAGCCCCACACCTTAAAAAACCAAAAGCCATCATCAATAAAAACACTAGAATTTTATTTTTTAAAAAAAAAGACCTCAAACTCTGGATTCGCGTACAGTTGCAGTCTGACAAAAAAGATCTGAAGAATGCATACGTGGAGTTTGAAATCTGGGGAGGATGGCAGCAACTTAGTGTTCACAGAAAGGGCCCCAGTAGTGTTCTCTGGATGGAGAAACAGTCAACAGGTTTCAAACTTTAATCAAGAAAATATTCTGTTGTGGAATACCTGATGTCCTACCTGACTGGCCTGTGTTGAGGTTTATAGCAAGCTGATGACAATGAATGTCCCACTTAACCTTTGCTTAAGCACTTAACCACACAGAACCTTTGCTAGGTTCTGAGGTTGGTAAGGATCTCTGCAGGTCATCTGGTCAAACCCCCTCTGGTCAAGCAGGGCCAGCCAGGCCCAGTTGCCCAGGACTGTCCAAGTGACTTTTGTGTGTCTCCAAGGATGAAACATTTTCTCCCTTTCCCCACTTGCTCTGGTGGCAAAGGCAGAAAGTTTGGCTGTTTTGCTGCTGGCAAATTTGACACTGGGAAATCAGAAACTGGGAGAGGGGGAGAAGGCAGGTGTCAGCGTTGGTGGAAAGACAGTGTTACCTTTGCTAGCCCTGGCAGGCAGTGATGCATTCCTATGGCTCAGGCTGTGGATCTGCCAGTGGATGTGAGGTCAATAGGAATCTCCCTCCTGCAGCTGCTCTAGCCTGCCACTACTTTTTTATTTTTAGTCATTCCTGATAAACTCACTTCAAGACCCCAAGAGTAGTCCAACTCCTGCAGTTCCCACAACAGGCCCCAAGGCCCTGCAGTTGTGGCTGCTCCAGTGTGACCCACACCATTCCCTTTGGCACCAGGAGACCTGGCCGGAGACAGGAAGGGCCTCTCTGAGACTGGCATGTTCCAAGGTCAAAGGCTATCTTCATTCCAACTAGCATCAGCCTTGTGAGAACTCCTCTGTGGTTGATGACATTGTCTGAAGATGTCCTTTATGTGTGAACTGGGAAGAGTTTCCAACAGCCACAAACATTTTTTTCTACCTTTGACTTAGATTCTGCAAGTGGGAGTGATTGCAATTTTTTGTAAAAGTTCCACTATAATGCTCCCCTATAGGACAACGCATGTGATTTCTCTGTCTTACCCAGTGCAGAGGATGGACTTAGTTTGGTAGATAATGGTGAGGAAATGGGTGGATTGTCTCTGGTTCTCTGTATTTTGCAGTGTGCACCTTGGCCATGACAAAAAGCTGTGACTCATCAGAGCACTTTATATAGAAAGTCCCTATTTTTTTTTTTTGTCCTTCACAATCTTGTAACAGCAGGCAAAGGAAAATAATGGAGTTATGCAGTTGTCTAGACCACAGCAGTAAAGAGGATGAATCATCCTCTGCAAAAATTTGGTTTCTTTCTACCACTGGACACCCAAGGATCCAGCTAGAGTCTTCCTTTACATTGGTACTTCTGATCACACTCCATCTGACAAGTTCACCACTTCACTCCAGCTCCTGAGACTTGGCTGCAACTTGGGGGCCCTTAAGCAATGTGACAGAGTAACTCCTTGGGCCCTCGGTCTCAAGGGACCTTAAGTTTCAGATCTGTGACTACTTAAGTCCCACAGTGTCTCCCAATCTCACACCTCATGAGCTCCAAGGACTTCAGAGTCACAACAGAGACATGTGACACATTGCTGAAAAACACTCCCCTGTCCATTATTTTGAGGCAGGACAGATAAAGCATGTGGTGTGCTGGGACTTGTAACTAACTGTGATTTTATAGAAAAATGTGGCTGGGAAAAGCTCAGGGAGAAATGTACACCTGTCATTCCTCATCAGATACTGGCACAGAAAAATCTCTCCTTGTTGTACGATGCTTATCTACACCCTTAACAAAGCTGTTCCTTCTACGACCTGTGACTCAATATTAAGTCTTTGGTGAGATTGGCCTATCCCTGTTTAAACACAGGGGACACTGAGTGCCATTTTTTCCTGGATAGATTAACCCTCTTGTTAAATATGTGGAAAGATCAAATGTTGTGTTGCTTTAATAGCTGATAAAAGCTCTATCATGGGAATGTACCTTGTTTTTTGGTTGAAATGGATTAGATTAGCCTTTTGATTTTTTTCCAGATCTAGTTTCTTTTATGTTTCCATTAAAGAGGCTTTCTGCTCTTAATGCACTGCTGTGGACGTGCTTTCTTTCAGGCACCATGTGATTCTTGCAGTTTCCCTATACACCTTCTCCCTCTGCAAGCATCATTTCTGCTGCTAGATCTTCCTTGCATTCAAAGGACCACTGCTGATGGATCACTGGACACCACACACATTCCTATTGTGATGGCCCAAGCTGTGAAATGAAACTGGCCAGCAGTTTCTCATTTGGGCATCAAGGACTGCTGAGCTTTCTGTGACCAAACTAGGCATAGCTCTTTCCCTCATGCCAAGCACCCTCAGTGCAGCAAACCAAATGGAGGCACCTTGCAACCAGAACAAAACCCCAAACCACCAAGAAAGCAACATGGCTGTAGGTTGTTTTTTTCTCTTGTCTTAAATGTTAAAAACAGGCAAACTGGGACAAGATTCCTTGATGGCAGAGCTGTAGGACGGGGGAGGGCAGTGGGAGGCGTTAAAAGAAACAAATCCCAAAACAAAGCCAAAATCAATTACAAGATATAAGTATAGCTATTTGGTCTCTAGTTCTCTAACATCAGCTTTTAGAGTGGTGAATCATCTACCTCTCCAGCAGCACAAAATGATCCTGGAAGGGCTTCTGAGTAATACAAACCATATGATGAGTCCCTTTGCTTTCTATGATGTAAGGAACAGTCCTTCACCTTTCACCCCAAAACTGCTAGCAGGTATGAGAAAGACCCCTTCCTTCTGTAATTACAGATGCTTCAGTCTTCCCTTTTTCTAGAAAACTTTGAACTGAAATTCACAACTGTGAATATACCAGGGGGATTACATATATATTTATATATATATATATATATATGGAACTTTTAGATATATATACACACATATATATGTATTTGTCCCCACCCTCCCTTCCCCCTGCTCCATTCTATCACTTCTTTGCTAGAAGGAGGGAGAATGTTAACTGATAGTCACTTGCAGAGGTTTGTCACATTTATTTTTCTCCTCTCTGGAGCACTTAGGTGATTGGTTTTGGTCCATATTCCAGCCGTTAACAGCCACTCGGAGTACTCTTTGGGAGCCCAAGCTATGCTGGGATGACAGCCCAGCCTACACGTGAAGGGTGTCTCCTCTTCATTTGACAGGTATGTGTGAGAAATTCTTTTGGTAGCTTCAACACATTTCCCAGTGGCAGCACATATAAATTCATCCAAGCAAACTGGAAGCCTTGAGCAAATCCCTTCTGTGTTGCTATTGTTTATGCGGTGTTGTGTCATGAGACTTGCACAGAAAATAAGAGTACTCTATTTCCATAGGAAAGCCTTCCAAAAACAAAAAAAAAACAAAACAAAAACCAAAACAAAAAAAAAAAAAAAAAGAAGAAGCATAATCTGATGTCTTGTCCTATGTGAGATAAGGAAAGTCAAACTGCATGTTTATTAGGGAAAAAAAATGACAAAAACCCCCAAAACTGAAACAAACCAAAAAGAAAGAAAAACTCAAGGGAGACTTTGTAGGAACAGTGAAGTAGTGCATAAGTCCAGGCTTTTTCCCCTTTGCTTTCCTGCCAGCACCACTTCTGCCTGTTTGTTTTGTTAAGGTGCTTCAGGTCCTGCGTGGTCTTCAAGCTAAGTGGCGACCTCAAGTACTGCTCCTGTCTTGCTGCTTCCCCTCTCAAACCATGCCGACCATCAGATGTTTCTCCCCTGGACCCACAGAGGGGGTGCACCTGTTTCCTTCAGCACTCATCTTCTTGGTATATTTGTTCATCCAGTTCCTGGGATTCAAGGTGCTCGAGGCGGTCTGTCCGGCCACTCATGATCTCATCTGGGGTCTTCATGAACCTGCAAAACAGAGAAACGAGCACATTTCTCAGGGGTCTTCATCAAATTAATTATCTTCATCAAGTTGTTGAGACCCCTGAGCTCTACAGCTCCCAAGATAATCTTTGCTGTATCTTCCCAAAGCCTTAGTATTTCCCAGCTTCTCCCCAGTTATCTTCCCTCCTCCATACCTTGAAAGGAAACAAAAAAATCACTGGCATTTACCCCAGCTTCTTGAAAGTTCAAATCTGAAACACAGACTTTTTCAAAAACCATAGTTTTTTTCAAAGAATGATATTTATTTCTTCTCCCTCATATTGTTTGCTGTTGTCATGTCAGATGACAACTTGGCCCAGGTACACTCATGTATGGTGTCTGGTGACAGAGACATGAAAGGTCTTTATGATCAGCATATTTCAAAGCACAAGCCCTTGCAAGGTGGGGGGAGGCTGCTGATCCACCTCAGCCACCAGCCCAGGATCTCAGCTCATCCCTGCTGTTCCAGCTGAGTGTTCCTCAGAGCCCTGCAGGAGCACCGGGACTGACTGCCCAAGGGGTTTGTGAAGCAAAGCCTCTCCTCCATCCCTTCCCGTCTCAGCCGAGAAAGCTGTCACAGGGTCCCTGGTTCTGTTTTGTTGCTAACACTGTTAGCAACAAAAGTTATTGTTGTTTGTGTGCCTTGTTATACATACTAGTAAAGAACTGTTATTCCTATCCCCAGATCTCTGCCTGAGAGCCCCTTGACTTCAAAATTGTAGTAATTCGGAGGGAGGGAATCTACATTTTCCTTCCAAGGGGAGATCCTGCCCTCCTTAGCAGACACCTGTCTTCCTAACCAAGACAGTGAGTGAGAAGAACATGAAACACCAAAGGAACAGAGGCGGGAAAAGCCAAGGTCCAAGCCAGAACAAGCTCTAGGAAACTGAAAAGGCCCTGAAGGGAAAAGACTTAGGGCTAGGGAACTGTAAGCAAAGACAGTCTCTTCTGGTGTGCTTGTAGCAACTGTGACTGCAGTGAGGCAGCATCCTCTGTAATGAATGCCATGGCTCCCAGCACCAGTGTCACAAGGCAGTAAGTCTGCAGGGTGCTGGAGACAGAAACTGCATCTGGGGAGGCATGGCAGCAGCAGGAAATGAGAAAGGACATCTACCAGCCTACAGTTTAATTCTGTGGTCTTGGTTTTTGCCAGGATGCTTTTGTGTATTACTGCACAGAGGTAGCACAGAAAGGCTCTGCTTTTTCCTTTTTAATTAGTGGTGTAGGAAGAGAGAGTGGCACAGGAAGGATGAAATCCTGTTTTCAACACAAATCAGTTCCCCAACTCCCAAGCACTTCTGGAGAAATTAGGATGAAAGATGCTTATGCTGGAAGTGGTACAAAATTTCAGAGTCTTTCATTAACAACATACTGGTTAACATGCAGCAGTATGAAATGTGTTAATCATAAGAGCTGATTTTACTTCAGGTTGATGATATGTTCAGTATCCTTTCCCCAGTAAAAACCAAAACAACCAACAAGTATCACTGACACACATGAGAGAATGCTCACTCCTGAAGCCTCTCAGCAAACACACAGCATAGCCTGGAACTAACCTTTTGCCATTCCCTCTAATTTTGGAAATCATGTGCATATATGCATTTAGGGAAAGAAAACAAACAAACAAAAAAAAAGACTATGACTCACTGCTGTGTCACTGCTGGAAAAATGCTGCTGCTACAAACAGTGTTACGGTGGTGAAAACTTCATATGCAGGAGTGGTGAATCAGTGCCTGGCTACACACTGAAAACACACCAAAGCCCACGGCCAGACTGTGCCCTGATTTAAACCCTGTGACTGTCTTGTTGCTCTTGCATGAGGATGAAATCAAAACACAGAGTGGTCCCACTGCCCTTACCCTCTCTATGTGGGGCATGGGCTGATGTGAACTGCAGTTCAGGATTTTGGGCATTCCTGCTGGTCTGTGCTTTAAGTCACATCAAGGAAACCACAGAGTGGGTATTTCTAATAGCATTTGATTACATTATAAACAAACAATCAAGCAACAACTCAGAACTGCATGAAAATTTAGAAATACTGTCTGTGACCTATTTTGTTGCAGAAAACACCCAGCCAACCTATTAGATATCTTCTTACTCCATCTTACTTAAAGCTCTAAACAGATATCTGCAGATGACAACTGCCTGCACAATAAAGTCACATTTCCTATTATTTCTGTGCTTGTGAGGAATCGCCAAGAAGGGAACATTATTGACTTGATTTTTTGCAGCTGTTCTTTTTCTCTTCAGATATAAATAGGTCTAAGAAAACAACATCAAAAAGTTTTTATTGGGAATTGTGCAGAAAAATCTTTTGTTGTTTTTTTTCTCCTAGTTTCCAAAGGAAATGAAGTTTATATAGCTCAAATTTTATGCTCTCTGGTCACCTTTGAATTTGTTGGTCAATTTAGCCAAGTCTTACAGGTCTCCAAGGGCATTAAGTTACAACCATTGTGAGAAAATAGGCAGCTGGGTTGAGAAGAGATGGACTCCATCTTTTGTGTATATCCCCACTGAAGGAAAGGCTTCAAGAGAAGCACATTCAGTGTTCAGCAGCAGGAAGTCCCCCAAGGTAATAAAGTCTTTACACAAGACCATGGAGACACAGGTACCTTTGGTACTGATGGAGCAACCTTGTTTTAACTTTCCGCCAGAAAAAGTTACTATCAAGCACTTGACTTTGCCTATGCCTGCTACTTTCCTTCACTCTTCTTCCTGCATCTATGTTTCCTTCTAAGAGCTGACATAATCAAGTCATCCCACAGAACCCTTTTCAGCTGAAGATAGTTTGAGTGCTAATGCAGTTCTGTTAGCTATTTAAGAAAACAAGTTCCAAGATTGCCTTCCTATTGTTATCATTTCCAAGCACACTGCTAGATCCAGGCCACTGACAGCAAAGCAGTCTTTGGTTTGAGTTCAGTGCTCTGAGCATCAGGCATGCACTAGGATTTGCTGGTGTTGTCTGAAGAGAACTGGAGTGCTCTCATTCTGTGCCATCTGCACTCAAGTTTGTACAAACAGCTCCCTGTTTTAATGCTGTTTCAGGCTCTCTTTCCTAAATTCTTGGTTGTATCATCCAATCCGATGCATTGGGCTTTATGAACAGCTCTTGCAGCAACCTCTCTTCCTTCAAGGCAGCACCAAAGATGTGGTCAACAAGTACTTCTCTTCTGTGATGCCCTTGAGGAAATGCCTGATTTCTGCTCAGCTTTCACTGGCAGCTGCGTTTGCCAAGTCCATTTGGAGTAGGTTTTCCAGCAGTTTGGCTGAATCATTTATCTAAGGCCTTAAACAATGGCACAGCCTTGCACAAAGCAGTGAAAATACTTCTGTTGTCTCCACTGACCATTGAGACAGACCCGTGCTTTTGTAAATTGGTGTGGTTGCCTTGAAAGCTGGAAAGCACTGCTCTAGACAGCTTTTACAAATGTATGGCCATCTGCACCTGTGTTACAACTATGGCAATGAGGTATCCCATACGCAATTCCATCCTCCATCCTCTAAAACTAATTTCCATAGAAAGAAATGACAAAGAAAGAAAATTACCTGAACAAAAGCCTTTGTCCTGGCTCCTTACGGATGATATTTAGTTTGTAGTAGTGGCGTAGGGCTCTGGACATTTTCTCATAAGTCATATTTGTTCTGTTCTATTTTTTTTTCAAAAGAAAAAAGGGAAAAAATGTGGTGAGATGATTCGTTAAAATGAATTTATTTCTAAGCCCCAAAATGAGTTACAGAAGTATCACGGCTACCTAGAGTAACCAAGACAGTACAAGAAATTACATGTACCATTTTTTGCTGTTTGCATGCCCATTCTACCCCCACAGCCCTCATCACCAAAGTTTTGTGGGTCTCTTTCTACTTAGAGCAATTTAAGCAAGGAGTCTAACAAAAATTCCAAGCAAGGCTTTTCTACAGTTTCTTGGAATACAGATAACAAAAGACTTAATTAACTACAGAAGGAGACATTAGATGGAGGGAGATGCTTATGCCAAGTGAGATGGGACAGGCCTGTTCCTAATGAAAACACCTTTTGTAAAAGCCTGGGAATAGTGGCTAATAGGCTGAATCTGTCAGCAATCCCTGCTTGGAGCACTGTTCCTCTGGGATTCCCCTGCATTAACTAGTTAATGCTCACAGAGCACTGTTTCTCCTCTTGTTATACAGGTGTAAATCAAGAATCCAGTTGGGTAGTACATCTGCTTCTGACAGATCCTCCCCTACATTCTGGGAGCTGTTGGCCCCAAAGGCCATGGCCAGAGCACTGAGGTATACTGAAGTGTGAGATGATTCATTAAAACCTTCCTAAGCCCCCAAACGAGATGGCCCTGTTGAAGCTGAGTGTCACAAGACAGAAGTGATGGGCAGGCATTGAAAGAGCTGTACGTGGGCAGCCCCCAAATTAGTGACTTGGAAGAACAGGATCAGCCCCTTAGGCTATGTCTACATGAAGAGCATTTTTCTGGTCCAAGGAGCAGTGGTTTCTGTCTAGCATAGAGACAACTCTGCTGGCAAAGCTGTGTGTGCACAAGTGTAAAGCAGCTGCTTGCCATGGGCCAAAAAATGCCATACCAGTAGAAGCATGTTTTTGTTCTGGGACCTTCCATGTCAGGAGCTTGGATTCATCAAAGGAGACTGATCCACCTGCCTAAAATGCCCAGTAAGAGCAGGCCCCCTCTGCTTGCCCTGACTACAATAACTCTGCTAAGGGAGGCCACATCAAGAGCTCCTGTGGCAATGAAATACTACTATGGATAAAGTTTTCCCTGCAAAATCTAGACTCCTCATTGGGAACCTCTCTGAAATACTGAGTGTGCTTCTTCCATTTCTTGTATGATGAAAGGCCACTGTGTTGCCCAAGTGGACAATGGTCTGAAGGAGCTTGTTTTAGACACCCAGCATGAGACATGATGGCATGACGCAATTATTAAACGTGCAAGTTGGTAAGTTTCATAGAATTCCCATTAGCCCATATCTCCAGCATGTTCAGAACCATGTGGATGACAGCACAACCCTCTGGTGTGACAGCTACTCCTCCCAGTTTTGTGTTGTCTGAGAATCTGTCCCATCATCCAGGTCATTAATGGACATACAGTACTGAACCCAGAATCAGTCCCAGGGGTAAAATGACTAGTGACTGGATTTCATGCCATTGATCACCATCTTTTCAGCCCAGCAAATCAGCCAGTTTTCAGTCTACCTCACTGTATTCTTGTCTAGGTCATTCATACTTAATTAGTCTGTCTTTGAAGCTGTTATGAGACAGTCTCAAAAGCCTTTCTAAAATCAAGATAAGCTATATCCACCATTCTCCCTGAATCTACTGTGCCAATAATTTTGTTGTAGATAGATATCATAGTGGCCAAGTATGATTTCCCTTTTATAAATCCATGCTGATTATTCATACATTCATTTGAATATACTTATATACATATACAGAAATATCTATACATAACTCAGCCCCTAACTGTGAAAATCAGTAATAGCTTTCCAAAGACCAAAGCAGGAACTGCACTCTTAGAAGTAAGTACATAATACTGAACATTTGGTGTCTGTTACAGGCCAGTGTGTGGACTCCAGGAGTTGCTGCAGACAGGAACACAGAAAGCTCTTGCTCTGTAGTACAGAGCTCCTTGTAAACTACATCTCATCAGAATATCCTCAGCATCAGGTTTTGAGAAGAAATAAGATGCCTTGAGAGAGAAGTACTGTTAATTCTTGCACTCCTTGTAATTTTGTAATTACGTGCATTTATAACAAAAGGTCTTTAAACTAAACCAACAAGTTCTTTATATGAAGATTAGGTTTTGGTGCTTCAGGATGGATGCTTTGTATTTCTAAGGTATATAGAACAAAAGATTACAGCTTTCCAGCAGTAATTTATATGTCATCCTTTCTTCTCCTGTTTATAACTGAATCCTGTGATGCTACAAGCAAAATGCTGCAGGAGGAAAACTGAATTGCTTCCTTACCTTGTGGTTTCCCCACAGACGGGCCAGCCCGTTGGGATCCACTATCCGAAATATTTTGGATTCCTTATCTTCCCATCGAATGAAATTTTCGTACCGGCTGTCAGAAAGCAGCTGATAAACATAATCCCAAAGCAACCTACAGTCTGTGAAGAGAGAAGCAGGACAATAATTACTTTTCCTTTTTTTTTTTCCCCTTGGGATTAATTCTGGAAACTTTTTGGGTGAATGTGTAGTGAAAGGACAGTTGGGAACAGGGCTGAAACAGCTGCCGTGACCTGAAATTAAAATGGCTTGGCTCGTATCGAGTAATGTTTGCAAAATGGACTGCAATAATAAATGCCTCTTCTGATGCATCCCAGTTCTCCTGACACTGACAGAGCTTCTCCATCTCATCAAAAGCTGTGTGAGGTGACCTGCTGGTCTTAGTTGTGTGTTTATGGTTGTACTGAAGCACATAAAGCTCACACTGTTGGCCCTGATGCTGTTGCTGGCTGTTTAAGTGGAGAAATCATGAATCCTGCAACCTGCTCTCCCTGCTTGAGGCTGCCCCTTTCTGCGCTAACATGTGAGTCTAAAGCATGGGCAATATTACAGCTTTCCTTTGCAGACTCCTTGTGATATAAAACTGACAGCTTCTCCCATTTTCAATTTGATTTTTTGTTTTACTTTTTAAGGTTCCTGGAAAGAAACAACACTTAAGTATTATAATTACTTGAGTGCTATCAAGAGGTTAAATACTTTCTATTTGGATAATTGAATTCAAATTTCCTCTTGGCAAACACTCTTCAGGTCACTAATTAAAGGTCTAACAGACACTTAAGTTTTAGTTTAGTGTTTTTCAGTTTCATGGCAGTCTCTTGAGACTGAGGAAGCCAAGAGCTGAGCTGCTCTTAATTCCTGTTTGCAATGTATGTGTGAAGCACAGAATAACTGGGAATATGGAATTTGGAATGTGGATTGTGCAGAGCTGGGGGTACTGCTGCTATCAGAAACAACAGGGTTTTCACAGCTCAGCTATCCAGATTTCTAAGGTGGCTGTGGGGTTGCATTTAACTTTGAAAGCAATACCAGCCTCTGACCAGACTCTAACAAGCTGTTAGAGTTGTTCAAGGGCTGGCAACCAAAGAAATCCAGCTTCTAAGTGCTAAAATGGATTCTTGTCAGCCTGTCTTTCTATTCCTGTCTGTCTATCTGGGGCTGGCACGTGTTACAATGGGGATGATGACATGGGAATATAAAATACTTTTTCAAAAAGGATATGAATAACACGTTTAATGAGCACACCTGAAATGAATAGAGATTTTAAAGTTATTTTCCCACTTTCAAATTGCAAAGAGTATCTCTGACACCAGTACTGTCTCTAAAACCAGAGCTTAGTCTGCCCCTGCTTCAGTGTCTCCCTGCCAGTCCTACAAAATAAAAAAACAGTATGTTTTGAAGAGATGACATCTGTCAAAAAATTTCAAGTTCCCATTCTAGCTGAAACCTACCCTGATGGTCACCTCATCCATAACATCTACAAGAGGAGGAATGTGAAAGGCAAGATTCAAGACTTTTTGATTGGAAAAAACTTTTTGTCATTAACATTTTTCACAGAAAAACATTTTCTACAGAAAAATGCCCATACCCATTTGAGTTTTTTCTACGTTTTAATTTAAAGAATGAAACCTGGGTACAAGTTTCCCTGGACTAAGTGAGAGGTCTGAAAACTAAAGTTGAAGGTTACCAGTTGAATTTCTGTCATCCCCCCTCTCATAAATTCACAAAAACCAATTCTTATACTGCCTTTCTGACAATGTTTTCGCACACACACACACACACACACACACAAACACACATTAGAAAAGAGCTTATTTTCTAGACTTCCTTTATGATTCAAGACAAGGGAGATTATATTGCTCTTCTGGTTTGTGCCTTTTAATATTGTGGGAGGTTTTCAGACAAAAGGATAGTAAGGCTGTTAAATGGTTCTTTGACACACATGCAATTAATTCTAAAACCCTTTCAATGCAAGAAATTTATAGAAAATGTCTTTTTTAATGCAAGAATCCTTGGGGTCAGCTGGAGGGATGGTACGCCTGGAGAAGCCAGTCAATGTCATGCTTTGTCATATTCTTGAATGTTCAACCCAGAGCAGACAACCTCCAATTGCAACACCTTATAGCTCATATTTACAGTTCTGCAGAGATATGATTCATACTCCTCTTTACTTTCACCTCAATTTTTGCAATAGGCAAAGTTATTTTTAATTTCTCTCTCACATTCAGACACACACCCTGGGCCCCCCTTCTGCACAAAACCAAAGAAGCAGACAAAAAAAGCAACCTGAGATTTCTAGGTGGAAACAAAGAGAGCTTCAGATACTAAGAAGAGGCAGGATTCAAGTGCAGATTTGGTTTTTTATTGTTCCTTTAGTTTTTAGGATGAATTTAGGCTAAGCTTGAATATAAATACACCTTTTCATTTGTATAAATACAAATGAGAACTACTCAGATCTGCATCTTGAGAACTTCACAAGAAAAATTGTAAGTGATCAAGGGCCCCATCCCTTATTCTCAACTGATTGAGCTGCTCAGGCTTACAGAGGTATTTAGTAGGTTGGTGGAATTTGCAAAAAACCCCAACTACCCAAGTATCCGAGACTCCTGTTTGCTTCAATGATAAAACCAAAAATCCTTGAAAACTCTACTTGGTTCCTACAACCACTTAAAAACATGATTTAAATCATATGGCTGTCTATCAGCAAATTTAGATATATGACCCAGTTGTATTTACATAATTTACTGAGCATCAGGGCAACTGTGGTAACTGTCTAAAGACACTGCAAATAGGAAATAAAAAGCATTAAACACCAGTAGAAAATATTCAGGCTCACTGCATTTCTTCTCCTCAGAGCTGAGAGCTCCACGCACACAGTTAACGTGGAGCAGCTGATGCTTTGCAGCACACTTTACTTATGTATGAGCTCTGCTTGTACAGGACCTAAAGCAACCTGCCTTCCTTCTAGTTTCACTTGGGACACATTTAGGAATTTGAGCACAGGAACTTAAGGGATTTTTGTTTGTTTTTAACCAGAAATGGTTGCCCTACATATCTTTCTCAAGACTGCACAGTAAAAGAAATATGAGGTCCTGGAGGGTTCTCCTGACTGACAGAAGATCAGCAATTAAATAATCTACTAGTAGAGACCATCTTTAATAGGACAGTAGAGACAATGAGTCGAGGATACCTGGTAACTCTTAAGATTGAAATTGGATTATAATTGAATGAAATTGGATTATAGTAAAGCCCATTTGCAAGCCTGTGAAATTAGTCAAAACCCAACAAGAGGCAAGGCTAGAAAATGATTTTAAAAGGAGCTTCTCTGCTAGGAAAAGAGGCACCTCCACAAAAGGCTGCTGGAGATGATAGACAACGTGCTCAGGGCACAGCATGGGATTCTTGGGGCTGCCATGTGCTGGGCTGGCAGTGGGTACTTTGATGATCCTTGTGGGTGCCTTCCAACTCAGGATGCTCTATGATTCTATAATACAGAAAGTTGCATTCTCCAGGAAGACCAAAAGTGTGATATGTATTTTTAGGAAGGATAGAGGAAATGGAGAGAAGGACTTGTATGTGGATAGTTGTTTTGTAAATGTCAATTACTTGGATGAGGAAAGTCTGGATGGTGGAAATGACTTCATGAAGACTCAATCTCTTCCTTGGCTGTCAGAAGGCCTCCAAAGGAGCTGCTGCATGAGGGGACTCTCCACAGGGTGTGTGTTGGCTAGTGAATAATAGCAAGAAAGTACATGGATGTTGCTGAGGCCAAGCAAGTTTTGAAGTGTGGGAGATTCAGTAGGGGAGTTGAGGCAGGGCTGGTACCTGTTTGGGTATGCTGTGATTTCCTGCCTTTTGGCTAAAATAAGCTTACTATAAGCTTACTTAAGCAACTATGCCTCCCTAGCACAGGGAAAGATCATTTCCCCCTAGCACACACAAACTTTTTTTTAATAATGGACTCAGATGGTTGAACTTTGTACAGTCTGCAGCTACAGAGATTCAGCTGCAGATAGAGCTGGGACTGAGAGGCTTTAAGGTGTTGTAGCTGGAGTAGGAAGGTGGTGAATGGCCCAGCAATGTGGAAAAGACTCCTAAACACTGGGACTTCCATGCCCTACCATTTTCTCAGCTGTAATACTAAGCAAGTCTGAACTAAATAATTAGCTGGGAATTAGGGCAAATTGCAGCTTCTAATGGAGAGGTATAGATACAGCTTTCCTCCTGCAGCTAATGCTTCTAGAGGGACTTTTGTAGTTATGCACAAGGTAGTGATAAGGTGCAGAGTACTTTGCTGGTTCTCAAATTGTCTGCCATAAGCATTGCCCTACATGTGCAAGACGCAGCAGTTTCCCACTCCTGCTAATAAAAACTATGTTATTATTAATTGATTAGGCACAGTCTTCTGAATACACACCTAAAGAATACCAGTGTTTAAATACTTCCTAATAGCTATATTATAGTAATAAATATCCCTTAGTATTGAATTGCCATCTCAGATTGATCTGTAAATGAAACATTTTGGATCTTAGGTTCCTAGTATTTTGATATTTGTCCAGCTGTTACAAATGACTTCTCCAGTATCATTTGGCCAACGTCATCTTCATGTTGCAGTAGTGAGATGTCTCGCATCTGTACTCCCCAGGACTAAATAATGCTGTTCACAATATAGGCATTTGCATGCTAAAGACCTCTTTTGTTCAGGATATAACATTCCCCTGCACCAAAATATTACTTAAAGCACATGCTGTATCTGAGCCCTCTATTATTTAAATGAGGCCCATGGTGCAGAGCTGGCCCTCTTCATGTAGCAACTACCAAAAACCTCCCATAACCACAGAAATGTTTTGCAAGACCTACCCACATCTTGCACTGAAGAGCATTATATAAAAAGTGTTTGATCTGGTTGATGACCGCCATGGAACCCAACATGGCTCCACACAGGAAGTGATGCCAAAGGAACGTTGTCATACTCCCTCTGACATCAGCTGAGGCCTTATCCCTAGCTGTGTAGGTTAGCCTAAAATCTCTCCAGCATATCATTTGACTTAAATGGTTCTGTGATTTCTACCAGCTGAAGAGTTCTCCCAAGCTCAGCCTCCTT